AATAAATTTTGCAATCTATGGTTTGTGACTTCTTTTTTAAAACCCATGTTTTTGTTCACTTTTCAACTTACCTGTGAATCATGGAAGGATCCGAACCACGTATGTTCTCCAATCCCAAAGTAATGCACTTCTCAAAAAAGTCCACATCCTCTAAACCCCAGCCCTCGATGTCTGTCTTGAACCCACCAGCACTGGGGGAAAAAAGAAAACAATTGCTAAGACTTCTGCATACACCGTTAGAATGGTGGATGAGACGTTGTGCAGGGGTTTCATCATCATCAGTTCTTTTTATACCTAGTGGCCCATGAGGCTTCAGAGGGGACTTTCCATGCTTTCCTGTCCTGTGCAATCTTCAGTGCAGTTTTCCATGTCAGAGATGCTGCACTCAGGTCACTTTCCATCGTTCGTCTCCATGTTGTTTTTGGGCGCTTCTGTTTTTCTCTTTCCCTCTGGTATCCATGCGAGAGCTATTTTGGCAGGTATATCAGGATTCATTCTCATAGCGTGGCCAAGCCATTTCCATCTTCTCTTGGTTATCATACCGTCTAGAGTTGTGCAAGACTTTACAGCTTTGTTTGTCACCCACATATTTTTTTAGCACACTCCGAAATATTAGCTTCTTACGACATGCTTTTATGGAGCACTGAGCGTATTAGCTGAAAATGAAATAAATGGGACCCTTAAACTCACATGGGGAGATTAAGCTATTACCCAGTGCGTTTAGCATCACAAGCCCAAGGGGTAGTCAAGAGAGACGTTAAATCGGCACATCATGCGTTCATTGGGCTTCTAAGTAGGAATCTATGAACGTGTGATGCGTCCCCTGGGACTCAAAGAGTTAATCACTTAATTATACATTTTAATTACTGTAACTCTAAGATATGGGAGATACCGTGGTGTAGCGGCTGGACGCTTCACCCACAGCGCCGTTTGGTCTATAAAATATATTGTCTAACCCTATATGCCCAACATGCATGAAGACATGGAAAATGGTCCTTTACTTCCCTTTTACTAACTCTAAGATTTCCCATCTCGTCAGGTCTCAGACAGGGACGCGTCCTCTCACCGTTGCTCTTCATTACAGCCAGGGTTCCAATAGTGTTAATTTAATAAGTTAACACATCTGTTAGCTGAGCTCTCATGGTGCCACATCTCAACATCTTCTTATATTTTTAACGGCATGGTCAAAAGATCTTGGATTTCAGCAGTGCTAACCCGTCCAGCTTCCTGCTCTTCCGAGAAAGAAACTTCTTCTGCAGTTTCTTCATTCTGCTGCTGGTGAAGGTGCTGAAGCTCTTGCATTGTCAGCTCAGTCTAGTTTGAATCCTTGCTACCACTGTAGTTATGTTTCCAAGACATATTTATCACCTGTATGTTACCAGGGTTCTCACTGGAAGCAAAGAGTAGTAACACTGCACCCTATCAAGCATGTCACAAGAGGCGACTAAAGGTAGGGTTGGACTTGAAGTTGGCTACCTCATCCTGTACAAACAATCCTGTCATAAAAATGAAACCAAACACTGACACGTCAAAAAGAGAAACGAAACAAGAAAAACACAGCCAGCCAATATGACGGAAGGCTATTCTAGTAGAAGAATGACACGGTGCAGAGAAAACCGAATGGAGCCCGGAACGTCGACGTAACACCTCTCACCTAGGAAAATCTCCACAATTGGCACTGGAATGTTAGAACTTTGTACGATGCAGGAATAACAATGGAGGTAGAGGGTGAAGTTAAAAAAGAAGGGGAGAGCTGTACGCAGTTACGGAGAACAGAACGACCTGGCATACGTTCGATGAGGGCCTAATGGGATAGAAGGCAGAAGAAGAATACATATTCATGAGGCATACTTTCTGTGTTGAGAGCTTTGCTGAATGTAATATATGTCCTCTATATCATTAATATTACTGGCTTTTGCCACTTAAGTTACAAAGCCCTGTTTCTCTTATCCAGAGATTACGTGTTTGTCCATTTGTAGAGGAACGATTAAGAATGCTAGGCTGTTTTGGAGGAGACCCAGGTTCGAATAATCGGTAAGGTTGTGGCTCTTTCTGTCTGGGACACACACACATAAACCGAACCTGTATAGTCCATGTTGACAACACTATCCAAGTGGCTCTTTCTGTCTGGGGCACACACACATAAACCGAACCTGTACAGTCCATGTTGACAACACTATCCAAGTGGCTCTTTCTGTCTGGGACACACACACATAAACCGAACCTGTACAGTCCATGTTGACAACATCACCAAGTGGCTCTTTCTGTCTGGGGCACACACACATAAACCGAACCTGTACAGTCCATGTTGACAACACTATCCAAGTGGCTCTTTCTGTCTGGGACACACACACATAAACCGAACCTGTACAGTCCATGTTGACAACACTATCCAAGTGGCTCTCAACCCTCAGATTCAAAGACCCCACTGTCTACACCTCAAAGGTGATAAATACAACCAGTAATGGCACCAGTTGTATACATTGGATCAAAGAGATTTCTCTTGAAAACAAACAACTTATGCTGATCACCCAACCTAGTGTATATTTATGAACAATTGTTCCAGTACTCCCAGTCTCAAGGAATTATGTGCTTGTAGCTACCATTTGATATCTTTCTTGAAATGTGATCCTGCCCAAGTGTGTGGAATGGGTCGCAGAGGTTTCTATAATAAGAAAAAGCAACCACAAAGATGGCCGGTTACCCACTTTAGTATGTAGAGGACCCTTGCCCATGTAAAGGCCCCTTTCAGACGTATTTGTCATGTAGTGCTAGACTTATAGAACATTCAGCACTCGATGTATGATGTGGACAACACCGCACCGAAAAATAAAAACAATTACAAAACAGGATAGTTCTGTTTGGATTGAACAGATGATCTTAGATCCGCAAGCAGGCGTCTAGCCACTACACCACAGAGGCTCTCAATCTAGTCTATGTGAAATTCAACAACTGTAGCAGTAAATCTCAAGGGAGTATTTGCTTAGTTACCGTATGAGATCTTTCTTGTAAACTGCCCCAATTCCGTAACTGAAGCTTCTCCATAAACCCACTTCATCTCGACGACTTTCCAGCAGACTATCGCAATCATCTTGTCTGTAACAGATGGATTCAGGGCTGTGGACAGAGGATTTGTTGTCAGTGTCAACAATAACTGTTAGAAATAGGATCAACATATCAAAATGGGAGGCTGCTGCACAGGATCAATAATTGTTAGATGTAGAATCAACATATCAACATGGGAAGCTGCTGCATAGGATCAATAATTGTTAAATGTAGACACAACATATCAACATGGGAGGCTCATGCATAGGATCAATAATTGTTAAATGTAGAATCAACATATCAACATGGGAGGCTGCTGCACAGGACCATTCTGGATGGCGCACATCCCTCAGACATGGCACATAAGCCTGCCAGTCAGCGAAGTTTGCACAGGCAGTGAAACGGAGCCAGACTAGAAAAAAAAAAAAACTTATCGCTAATCCCAAACTTACTGCCGCTTCCACCTGCTGTCCGCACTGCTCAAGAACTCTCCAGGCTCATATTGGACTAATCAGCCACCTTCCTACTCATAATCATTGCTACTTTGGATGAAAAGTGGTCTTCATCACTCATGATGGACGAAACACATAGGATAAGAGAATTTGTAATTAGGAAGTTATAAAAATATTTTGTCCAGTAAAATGAAAGTATGTTATTGCCAATACTGACTAAATAAGAATATTAGTCAGATAGTCAATGAATCATACGTTCTCAATGATTTATTGTTTAATCCTTCAGAAGACTTGACTTAATTATGAAGTCCATGTTCTGGCATTTAGTTAATTCGAGAGCTCCCTTAAATGCGACTGCAACATCTGGTTAAAGAATTCAAATTTTTACGGAAATCCACTGGGATTGTCGCCGGAGCTGTGAAGTTTGTGCTTTCTGTGATGCTATTGGCAGGCTTATAGCTGTTAAGTGGGAGAGACCGAGCCATGTATGATAAAGCCATGTGCAATGAAGTCGATCCTCTCGACTTTTAACTTCTTATATAAATCGTTATCGCGGCATCATCATGCACTTTTCACCAAAAATGAATAAGGCAGGTGTCAGGTATGCAAACACTAACAGTTCAACGCCAGAATTGCAGTTAATTGTTGGCGCAAACGACCAGTCACGAAAGCCAGCACTGCACCCGCTAAAGTACACACCATTCAGATCGTAATCGGCCAGCCGCAATTTTAGCACAACCAACAACGCTCAATATACTGACACTTATTTTTTTTTTAAAATATTTAATCTAGCATTTAACTTTCTCAGTCAAGTCGGCAGGGTTGTAACTTTCGTTGTCTGGCTCTTGTCTCTTGATGTGTCCTTCATGGGAGACCCTACCAGTATCGGAGCTACCATCTGCTTAGCTCTTGGGGGTCATGGGAACTCAATAGCCCCTCTACCACTTCCCGACCCAGGCACGACTACGAGAACAACCAAATCAAAGCTCAATTAGCGAAAATTATTGCAAATAAAAAAATTTTACTTGAAGTGCACAAAATAAATTGGAAAGAACGTAGATTTCCCCATCACTGTGTATTTGGAAACTCGGTGTAGGAACATGGAAGAAAACTCCATATCCACATCCATAAACAGGAGGAGGGAGTTGTATGGGAGGTCAGACATGGCCGTCATCAGTCCTGAAATATGAAAGGACGCGTTTTAATAATACGAAACAATAAATATAAGAGACTGCGTTTTGATAACATAAAACTAGACATATAAGGGATGGTGTTTCAATAACATGAAGGCAGAAATAGAGATGGTGTTTCAAAAACATCTAACCAGAAATATGAGAGATGATGTTTCAATAACATCAAGCCTGAACTATGACAGATTGTGTTTCAATAACATCAGACGAGAAATATGAGAGATGGTGTTTCAATAACATCAAGCCTGAACTATGACAGATTGTGTTTCAATAACATCAAACGAGAAATATGAGAGATGGTGTTTCAATAACATCAAGCCTGAACTATGACAGATTGTGTTTCATTAACATCAAACAAGAAATATGAGAGATGGTGTTTCAATAACATCCAATCAAAAATATGAGAGATGATGTTTCAATAACATCAAACCAGAAATATGAGAAATGGTGTTTATAAACACGCAGTGTGAAATCTGAGACATGACTTTTCAATAAAATCATCAACTTTTAAGCCTTGATCGTATGCGTTGACTGTCATGTTTCTTTATACCTGGCGATCTTCAATGACAGGTGTCAGTTCGTGTGCTGATACTTTCCCATTGATACTTTTCTATGCCATCACAAAAAGCTAATAATAATCTTTAATACAACACATGGTTAGAAGTGTTTCAGTAATGCATGTCTTAATGGTGCAAGGTGTATACCAGGTCCCCGCATCATCATGATATTTTAGACCAGTTGACCACATTTATCATACAGCATAGGTCCTACAGCAACTTGCAACTTGTCATCCTATTCTTTGCCACTGAATGCAGGGCACCCCAATTCCCCCTCACCCTTGGCTTTTTCCCCCTTACATCATTCTCCATTTCTCTTCACAGCGTGTTTTTGATCTTTGCCGCCCAGTATGTTCCAGTGCAACTATTTCCAAGTTATATTAGGTTTTCTCCATGTGTGTTCTATCCAGCACTAGTGTCTTTTCCTCACCTCTTGATTCGTTGGAATTTTAGTTGTCTCGAAATAAAACATTGAACAAAGAATATTGCAAGATAAAATGCATGTAAACCGAACAGTGAGGAGCGGCTGGCTGAACGGTTGGAACACTGAGCTCTCAAGCGGGAGACTTGGGTTCGAATCCTCGGAAAGGCAGGGGATTTTTTTCTGTGCGGGACAAAATAAAATCCTCACCTGCACAGTCTGCCTGGGTACCACATCTGTTTATATGTTTAGGGTGAGTTAAAAATTCAGGCTCAAAACAAAATTTACCTTTGCCCCGATTAAAAGGCTCATCCAGGTAAGTAATCCGTATATCCAGCTGTGGATGTTTGCCCAGGAGAGAATATGTCATGGCTGACATCAGCTTGTGTTCGCCCCTGTCGTCTGTGAACATGACTACACGAAGCTCCACTTTACCATTGTAGCCTGCACTGACATGAATGAGACACTTTAATAGGGGATTTTATTAGCATTAGACGATCTGTGGAAGTCAAAGGAAATTAAGTATAGTATCTGTTGCTGCTACTTTTCCGGTGTCCCTGGAGATGTCGGTATACAGAAAAGTAGGAAATAAGTAGGAAATATTTCATGGAAACAAAAAACAGTCCGAAACAGGGGTTCTGGAAAGGCAACAAATAAAAAGAGAATTACTGTAAGAAAAAAAGATACATTTCTTATTCTTCTTCTTCTGTGTTCCACGGAAGATGTAACTGCGTTGTGTCTGTTTACAGCATGGCTGCGATATTTGCACCTTTCGGCCAACGTATCCGACTTCTGCGGGCATTTGTTGACTGGGTTAGCCTACCGGGAAAAGATACATTTGAAATTCTTTGGCCACATTAAAAGACATAACATACTTTTAAAACCCATACTGGAGAGAAAGGTCGAAGGCAACAATACCAGTTGGAGGACAACATCAAGAGAGAGCGTACAACCAGGACAAGGGACAGAGAGTGTACAACCAGGACAAGGGACAGAGAGTGTACAACCAGGACAAGGGACAGAGAGTGTACAACCAGGACAAGGGACAGAGAGTGGACAACCAGGACAAGGGACGAGCGTGTTGAAGATCCATAGCAGTCAACCATCATTGTGGAGTCAGTGTTATATTGTGCTATACGGAAGCATGTGTATAACAGTGCACAGCGATGGCTTGCGTGACCAGCGAGACCTATTAGTGACAAGAAATTGCTTCCATGAAAAGAGGATGACATTTCAGGGCAATTGTTGCCATCTTCTTCTTCTTCTTCTTCACTTCCTCTTTTACCGCTGTGGGTGTCATCGCAGGTATTTAATTTGCTTCTTCTCAGGCGCTGAGGTCCCAACTTATCTGCAGATATTTTCTCTTTTACGAATTTGGCCCCCACCAAACTTATGGCAAGGTGCCGAAAAAGATCACTGCTGTTAAACTGCAGGATTTTTATTTCAATAACAGACAGAAATAAAGACAGATGGTGTTTCAGTATCATCAGACTAGAAATATTCGAAATGGTGTTTCAATAACATCAAGCCAGAATTGTGACAAATGGTGTTTAAATAACATAAAGAGAGAAATATGAGAGATGGTTTTTCATTAACATCAGACCAAAAATATGAGAGATGTTTCAATAACATCAAGCCAGAAATATTAGGTAAGTACGTGGACAGGTAATTAAGTGTGGAAATATGTGGGTGGATAAGTAGTTAGTTCCTGTTGAGGAAGCTCCCTGACGAAACGTCGATTTGTCTGTATTGTGCACGTTGTTCTGCTTCCCCATTTCATTCAGCTTTTTAGTCACAGTTCACTAGATTAATTCTCCAAAGTCAGGTACACGGCTTCATAATACCACAGGACTGGCGGTTACCTACTATATAGAGAGAAGGACCTGCCCCTGGCTGCCCCCCAAAAAAACTGCCAATCACTGCCTTTATTATACCACTGTTGCTGTGTAGGCAGGGGGGTCGTTGAGCCTGGGGATTTACGACCGCATGGCTAGTGCTGTCGCCACGACTGTGCAGGTGAGGATTTTATTTTGCCTGCGACAGAAAAAATCCCCGGCCTTACCGAGGATTCAAACCAGGGGCTTGAGAGCCCAGCCTTCTAACCGTTTGGCCAGCCGCTCCTTGTCTCTGGCTAATTAACTAATTAGCTGTTCTGTTTTCCCGCATGCAGCCTCAGCCCCATCCCAAATATTTGTTTAAGGAGAAGGCTGCTGACGCGGCCTGAGTTGCCAGGTTCTGACGTTCCTGACCCCATGCTGTCTTTCAATTGACTTCCCCATCTCGTTATCAGATTCAGCAATCTCCCCCGTGGAGGTTCCAGGGCTCCATTGTGGGGGAAAACAAGAAGACACACACTGCCTCCCCAACAAGCCTATTGTAGGTCTTGACTAACAGGGGGAATTCTTTAAAGTAGGAGTACATCTGCATGAGCGGCAAGGGAGCTACGAGTCTGCATACAGTTAAGCCAGATGTGTGAAATGGATATGACAGCAACACTCAGGTTCTGGAACAACACGGAATTTACAGCAGGTGAGTATGGAGCATAAGAAGAAAATAATAATAGCAGAAGAAGAAAAAGAAGAAGAAGAAGAAGAAGAAGAGGAAGAAAAAAACAGAAAAAGAAGAAGAAGAAGAAGAAGAAGAAGAAGAAAAAGAAGAAGAAGAAGAAGATTCAGCAGTAAAAGCCAATCAATGTTGCCGAGAGCTGATGTTCTGTCTGGGAATCAGAAGATCGTGTGAATAAGGAGAAGAGGAAGAAGAAGAAGAAGAAGAAGAAGAAGAAGAAGAAGAAGAAGAAGAAGAAGAAGAAGAAGAAGAAGAAGAAGAAGAAGAAGAAGAAGAAGAAGAAGAAAAAGAAGAAGAAGAAGAAGAAGATTCAGCAGTAAAAGCCAATCAATTTGGCCGAGAGCTGATGTTCTGTCTGGGAATCAGAAGATCGTGTGTATAAGAAGAAGAGCCACTTGTGTATACCTCCGACAGTGGTGGCATACATCTCCAGGAAGCGTCTGTAGATGGCAGATCTCTGGTACAGGGGCATCAGCATGTAGATGGTTTTACCGTTGGAGCCCATCTCTTCATCTTGCTCATCTGCTTCTCTGGAAGTAGCAGGCAGATCAGTACACAGATAATCAGTGTACAGGCAGATCAGTACACAGATAGATCAGTGTACAGGCAGATCAGTATACAGATAGATCAGTGTACAGGCAGATCAGTACACAGATAGATCAGTGTACAGGCAGATCAGTATACAGATAGATCAGTGTACAGGCAGATCAGTGTACAAGCAGATCAGTATACAGGCAGATCAGTATACAGATAGATCAGTGTACAGGCAGATCAGTACACAGATAGATCAGTGTACAGGCAGATCAGTATACAGATAGATCAGTGTACAGGCAGATCAGTACACATAGATCAGTGTACAGGCAGATCAGTATACAGATAGATCAGTGTACAGGCAGATCAGTACACAGATAGATCAGTGTACAGGCAGATCAGTATACAGATAGATCAGTATACAGGCAGATAAGTATACAGATAGATCAGTATACAGGCAGATCAGTATACAGGCAGATCAGTATACAGGCAGATAATTATACAGGCAGATCAGTGTACAGGCAGATCAGTATACAGGCAGATCAGTATACAGGCAGATCAGTGTACAGGCAGATCAGTATACAGATAGATCAGTGTACAGGCAGATCAGTATACAGATAGATCAGTGTACAGATAGATCAGTATACAGATAGATCAGTGTACAGGCAGATCAGTATACAGATAGATCAGATACAGATAGATCAGTGTACAGGCAGATCAGTGTACAGATAGATCAGTATACAGATAGATCAGTGTACAGGCAGATCAGTGTACAGATAGATCAGTATACAGGCAGATAAGTATACAGATAGATCAGTATACAGGCAGATCAGTATACAGGCAGATCAGTATACAGGCAGATATGTATACAGATAGATCAGTGTACAGGCAGATCAGTATACAGATAGATCAGTGTACAGGCAGATCAGTATACAGATAGATCAGTGTACAGGCAGATCAGTACACAGATAGATCAGTGTACAGATAGATCAGTGAACAGGCAGATCAGTGAACAGGCAGATCAGTACACAGATAGATCAGTGTACAGGCAGATCAGTATACAGATAGATCAGTATACAGATAGATCAGTGTACAGGCAGATCAGTATACAGATAGATCAGTATACAGGCAGATCAGTATACAGATAAATCAGTGTACAGGCAGATCAGTAAACAGATAGATCAGTGTACAGATAGATCAGTGTACAGGCAGATCAGTATACAGATAGATCAGTGTACAGGCAGATCAGTATACAGGCAGATCAGTATACAGATAGATCAGTGTACAGGCAGATCAGTATACAGATAGATCAGTATACAGATAGATCAGTGTACAGGCAGATCAGTGTACAGATAGATCAGTATACAGGCAGATAAGTATACAGATAGATCAGTATACAGGCAGATCAGTATACAGGCAGATCAGTATACAGGCATATAAGTATACAGATAGATCAGTGTACAGGCAGATCAGTATACAGATAGATCAGTGTACAGGTAGATCAGTATACAGATAGATCAGTGAACAGGCAGATCAGTGAACAGGCAGATCAGTACACAGATAGATCAGTGTACAGGCAGATCAGTATACAGATAGATCAGTATACAGATAGATCAGTGTACAGGCAGATCAGTATACATATAGATCAGTATACAGGCAGATCAGTATACAGATAGATCAGTGTACAGGCAGATCAGTAAACAGATAGATCAGTGTACAGATAGATCAGTGTACAGGCAGATCAGTATACAGATAGATCAGTGTACAGGCAGATCAGTATACAGGCAGATCAGTATACAGATAGATCAGTGTACAGGCAGATCAGTATACAGATAGATCAGTATACAGGCAGATCAGTATACAGATAGATCAGTGTACAGGCAGATCAGTATACAGATAGATCAGTGTACAGGCAGATCAGTATACAGATAGATCAGTGTACAGGCAGATCAGTATACAGGCAGATCAGTATACAGATAGATCAGTGTACAGGCAGATCAGTATACAGATAGATCAGTATACAGGCAGATCAGTATACAGATAGATTAGTGTACAGGCAGATCAGTATACAGATAGATCAGTATACAGGCAGATCAGTATACAGATAGATCAGTGTACAGGCAGATCAGTATACAGATAGATCAGTGTACAGGCAGATCAGTATACAGATAGATCAGTATACAGGCAGATCAGTAAACAGGAACATGAACGGCAGAACCTTGGGGGTTCAGTCCCCACCCCTACCCTGTAATATTTGTGTGTGTGGGTAATCTGACTAAGAGGACCCCTTTATCCATATCTAGAAATTATGTATTTATCGTGTGCATTAACAAATGCATCTAATAATACACTTTAAATAATATTACATGTATAAAACACACTTTCAAAGAGAATTTATATACATGGTGAAAATGTGTAAAATGTGCTTTGAAAATTATTGGGGGGGGGGGGGGGGGGGGTAATTAGGTATATGGGCAGATAAGTAAATAGGTGAGTATGTAGGCAGATAAGTAGGTAGGTAAGTATGTGGACAGATTAGTAAGTAGGTAAGTATATGGGCAGATAAGTAGGTAGGTAGTTATGTGCACAGATAAGTAGGTAGGTAAGTATGTAGGCAGATAAGTAGGTAGGTAAGTATTTAGGCAGATAAGTAGGTAGGTAAGTATATGGGTGGATAAGTAGGTAGGTAGTTATGTGGACAGATAAGTAGGTAGGTAAGAATGTGGATAGATAGGCAGATAGGTAGTATGTGGACAAATAAGTTGGTAGGTAAGTATGTGGACAGATAAGTAGGTAGGTAAGTATGTGGACAGATAAGTAGGTAGGTAAGTATGTGGACAGATAAGTAGGTAGGTAAGTATGTGGATAGATAGGCAGATAGGTAGTATGTGGACAAATAAGTAGGTAGGTAAGTATGTGGACAGATACATTCGTAGGTAAGCATCTGGACAGATAAGTAGGTAGGTAAGTATGTGGACAGTTAAGTAGGTAGGTAAGTATTTGGACAGATAAGTTGGTAGGTAAGTATGTGGATAGATACACTGGAAGGTATGTATGTGGATAGATGTGTTGCTAGGTAAGTATGTGGACATATAAGTAGGTATGTAACTGTGGGTAGATAGTAAGTGGGTAAGCTGGTAGGTAACTATCTGCGAAGTTAAACTGGCATGTAAATAGGCAGCTAAGTTTGTGTAAGATGGTTAGTTAGACAAGCAGGTAGACATGCAAGCAAATATATAGATCGACAAATTGTGTGTTATGATATAAATTAATGCTTCTTCTTCTTTCGCCCTTAAAAGGCTGGTAGGCACGTTGAGTTGTGGTGTACAGCTAGGCAGTGTTATCTTTGCCATTCAGCAAAACAAATAAGATTACACAAATCTTTAATTAGTCACATTTTACGACATGTTTGTGAGGGAGCAATGGAGTCAATACCCACCCACACCCGACTCAGCGGAATACAGCACGGGAACCAATGCAGAAATTTACTCAGATGTTCGTTATGTAAGGTTATGTCATATGCTACTAGTTACCATATCTAGGCCCGGCTCTCGAGCGTAGTTGTACTAGTTGGCTATACCGGATTGCGCGGTGAGCTAGTGACGAACTCCATGTGGTCCGGGTTCACTCTCGGGGGGTAGGCAGAAAAGCCACATTTATCCCAGATTTACGGTATTTACAATGGAATCAAGGCTGAAAGGTTGCGATATCCATAATACCGAGCCTAAGGGTTAACAACTCATGGCTTCTGGATACTAAAACAAACAAACAAACCATATCTAGAAAATTAAGATAGACCAAACTAAATATTTTAAAATAACTTTATGCTAGTACAAACATATTTATACCTGAAATCAATTAATTTTTCCAGCAAAGGTTTCCGCAGATAATATGGCTGAACATATTTGTTATTCTTCACCCACTTCTTCAAAAACAAGAGAGTTTCAACCCCCTTGCTAGTGGACAAACGATGGTAGGTTTCATTCACAAACGTCAGCGAGTATCTGACATTCTCTGGCAAAGTTTTGATGTAGCTGTTGGGGTAGAAAAATTGAGAAGACAAATCAATGGCTACTATAATAAGCCAAATCTAACGACGAATAAAATGGGTTTGCCAACAATATGGTACTCTTATCCTGGCATATTTGGATCATGATCGAGACCTTTTTTTGGGATGGATGGGCCTCACAAGTCAACGGAAATTCCCGTTTTTGTGAAGTCTAAGAGTCGGGACTGTGTTCACTATTTTTATTGAAATCGATTTACACACAAATTAAACTACAGTTTAAATAACTGGCAACACATATGAATCGATGATATATCATTCTGAAGATAAATAAGTGTGCTATTAGAAAACACAATCGGTACTGTTACTGCGGAGAAACATAAATGCATTTGCTAGAGACAATATGAACACACATATCAACATCAATAAAATGTTGCAATTAATGAAGTTATTCAAGCAAAAATAAACAAAACCAGTGTTAACTCTTTCTCACGCATCATTTAAGAAAGAAGGCCTCCCATTATTGACTTCATGAACACACCTGTGAGACCTATCTTTTCTAAAGATGGCCGTGCCTGGATCAAGTTTACGTAGAATCTGCAATAATTCCCATGATTTTGTCAGGATATATAGCCTCAGAATCTGTAGGAAACTTGTAGGGGCACCATTGGTACTGGACGTCTGTGCAGGCCACTGAAGATGGGGATGGAGAATGTCCCGACTGCTATGGGAATGTCGAGTTCTAACAGATAAATTTGAAATAAAAACAGGTGTGTGACGGGATGTCTTTTGTCGCTTTTCTTATTTTTACTGGCAATAGACAGGATTATGAAGACTGCAACTGCTAAGATGAAGAATGGAGTCCAGTAGACCCCTACAAAACAGCTCGATGATCTGGACTTCGCTGATGATATTTCAGTTGTGTCCCACTCATGGAATCAGAAGAAAGATAAATTAAATAAACTTAAAGCGAGATCACAACAGCTAGATCTGAAAATCCGTAAGTTAAATTCAAAGATAATGAGAGTAAATCAGGGAAATAGTAATGTGGTTTCTCTTAACGGTATGCCACGCCAAGACATGGAGTCGTACACCTATTCGGGTAATAATGTAGAGACAGATTGGGGGGGGGGGGGGGGGTGGGGGGGGGGGGGACTGATAGAGATAATAAAATACGACTACAAAAAGCAAGAGGAGCTTTCGCAGCACTATAGAATTTGTGGAGGTCAAAATAAATTAAAACTAACACTAAATGTGCAGGTTTTGCGCTATGGAGAGGAGGAAATTCTTCCTTGGCCGTAATTGGTCTTGAAAACAAAACTCGCCAAAGCCATGGACTATGAGTCTCATGTCTTCTCAGAGAGTAATATAACACTTTCGCCTGCAAAGACGGAAAAAAGCCAATTATCTATGTGCATGTGTTAGTATATGTGTTTGTGTGTGTGTATGAGAGAGAGAGAGAGAGAGAGAGAGAGAGAGAGAGAGAGAGAGAGAGAGAGAGAGACAGAGAGACAGAGAGACAGAGAGAGAGATAGAAAGAGAGAGTCCTCTATCATTAGTGACCATTACCTTGTCATTTCTGAATGTAGCTGTGCTCTACGTTTGTATTCCAAAGGAAACTCCAATTTGCCCGTCTCAAATGTGGTGCTGAACATTCTTTTGTAGCGAATGAATTCCCAAGATTTGTCTGGTCCCTGGTACACAGACTTCTCCTTGTGGATATCAGAAAAAAATCACCTCATTTCATTTTTTTCCCCTGTCAAAATTCGTCTTCTTCTTCTTCGCGTTTACCGGCTGTAAAATCTGGCAGAAAGTTCCGGTTGTTCATCCACTTCTGCTCTCTTCTCCTGTTCCAGAAACTGAGTGTTGTGTGTGCATCAGTTTCACAGGTCTGACTTATTTGCATGCAGATTGTTGGTTCCTTGCCTCTCATGCAGATGTACTCCAACTTCAAAAGAGACTTCCAATTAATTGACTATTACAACATGCTTGTTGGAAAAGCAGTTGGTCTATTCTTGTTTTCCCAACAATGGGACCCCAAAACCAACACCGGGAGTACACATTTGTAAGTTAAGAGTATTAACTTTTTCAGTAAAGTAAAAGTAAAAGATACTTTATATGCTAGGGGTATACCTAGCACATGATGCTTTTTCTTCTTCAACATTCCGAGCCCTTGAGGTTCATTGCTGCAGATATCACTCGCTTCCATTCATCTCTCTGGTTGGCCTTCTCTTTCCAGTTGGTGACACAAAGTGTTTGCAGGTCTGTCTGGACATTATCTCTCCATATTTTTTTTGGGTGGGGGGTCTGCCTTGTGGTCTACGACCATTCATCTCCCTTGTGTATACAGTTTTTTACTTCTCTGTCATCTGACATTCTTTCAATATGCCCCAACCATTTCAGTCTATTAGCTCTCATGATGCCAGTGATAAGTGGTGATTTAAACAGATTATGAATTTCGTAATTGCTTCACTCTCCATTCTCCGCTGTTTGTATCTTTGATGGGTCCAAAGATTCATCGTAAGACTCTGTTTTCGAAAACCTGTAATAAGGCTTCATCTCTTTTAATTGTGCTCCAAGTTTCAGGGCCATATAACACGACTGGTCTTGTCAACGTTTTATATATTTTGATCTTGTTGTTGCGAGACAGACACTTCGACTTTAGCAGATGTTGAAGGGCATAGTATACTTTATTTCCAGATGGTTAGTTTTTGTAACTGTGATATCTTTTTCTTGTTAGATTAGCCTGTGAATAATAGTTCTTTGAGTGACTAGGTGTCAAACCTTAAAAAAAAGCATCAATAATTATTTCACACTTCACAAAGACACTTTTAACTATTCCACACTTCGTACAAACATTATTAATTCATACTTTAAAAATGTAAAAAGAAATGTTTCCCACTTTAAAAAAAAAAAAAAAAGCATCAATAATAATGAAACACTTTACACAAGTATAATTAATTATTTCTTACATCACAAAAGCATCATAAAGTATTTAACACTTCACACAAACATCAATAATCACTTCAAACTTTATAATAACATCACACTTACTTTTGGCAGACGGCGAATATTTTCTAGGTTGACAGCATGGCCGCCACGCCTGAAGGCAGCCTCTACATGAGCAAGAAACACGAAAACGCATGTTATGGTTTGTATCACAGATGACGTCACTGCACACTGAGCATTCCATACGTGCCCAGGTACCTCTACTGATTGTTTCCCATGGGGGGGGGGGGGGAGTTCATTATAATGTCTCCTGTCTCGGTTTCAAAGGCAGCATGGACGTGCTTTACCATGATTTACTCACAGGTCAGGAAATCATGTTAATATCAGAGATTCGTCATTATCCATGACGAGACCATTCCGAACCGAACAGAGCTGATGATATCAGTTCTGTCCGTGCTTTTTCCCTCATGCACTGGTAAATTCCTTGCCGGTTGGTCCGCTCGCTCATTACCATTTATGCCAGCATTGCCAGGCATGTAGATCCAGGTGAGGGAGGTTAAGTGCGATTATCGAATGCTTTTTACCTATTCCACGTACATACTACCTGTTGCAATTTCCGAATCATATTTGTGGAATCAGATACAATTACCGCATGAGTGGCTGCTTGTTCTATTGCACACGCTAGTGATCTAGAAAATGGTTATCTGCATGGTCATGCTTGACGCAGTTGCTGGTATCGTTAATTATTTCTTACAACACAAAACAGTTGCTGGCCACTATCCATTTTTTATTGTTTTCACCATCATGTGTGCTGTGTATGACCTTGCAGACTTTGAACTGTACTTCACGAACCCGTCTTTGTAGATGGTGCTTTCTTTTGGGTGTGACTGCTGATCTATCAGTGCCCTTACCTCTGTGTCAAACACAGCAGTAAACAACTCCAAAAAGTTATACAATTAATCCCATCCAATGGCTTTATTACCAACATAAAAAACGTATAGCAGCACGTGTGACTTAATCAGCTATGCAATCATACACCGTGGTCGTCAGAAGAGGTCGCTGTAAGCATGCAGACATGCAGCCTACTATTTGTGAAGACAGTTGGTACTGACCACGAAGAAGGACTTTGGCGGTTAACTGGACTATGTTGTGACTGATGTCATGACCAGAAAGGCTGGGGGTAGGAGGCATAAAGAAAATAATGTGGCCTGGGGTTGGGGGTGGAGTGGAGGTAGCGATCAGCCTCATTACATATTTGATGCAAGGCCTCAAAAGGCCCGGTCCTTCTTCAAGTGCTATATACAGGACCATCTTGACAATATCTAACTTGTCATACATCACTTCACCACCAAGTGGTGCACAGCCAGCCAGTCTATCTGCCTGCTCATTTCCCAACACACCGGCATCAATAAATGTGAACGACTACAGCTGCACGCATCCACTGTAGTATGAAACTGCCTTAACATTTACCATATCATTTTCCAGACAGTTATCAATAACTTTACCTGTGAAGATTCTTGTGTCCATCTGATAATTGTCTTCAATAGGCTGTGAGGAGTCGGCCAGTCGCTGCTTCAGTGAACTTGTCGTTGTGACCTTGATTAATCTGTCCAGCTCATTTAGTTCGGCAAGAAGCGATTTTTTCTTTGTCGTCATTTTCTGAAAAGTTTAGAAAATAAGTCTCTCATTAAAAACAGCAGCACATAAATTTTATATACATATATAAATTTCTGTTACTCTTAACCCTAGGAGTGATATATAGTCCTTTTTTTTAAGTATCCAGAAACATTTGGTCCAGAACTATGGATAACGAAACCCTTTGGCCTTGATTCCATGATAGATACCGTAAATCTGGGAGAAATGTGGCTTTTCTGCCTACCCTGGACGTTAACCCGGACCACAAGGAGTTTGTCATCCGGTCGCCGCGCAGAGGGTTTTAACCAACTGTGCTAACGAGCTGGGTTGATATTAAGTATTAGTAAATCGAATGGATTAAGGAAAGAGGCGGTGCAGGAGAGTCCCATGTAGCGTACAATAGTACAACATGATAATGCTGATGTTTGTGATATCAAACACATTGTCTATCGACAGCCAAATGGTCTTCATACAAATTTGTCTGGCATCATATACCTAGCTCGTCTTCTTCTTTTTCTTTCTTCTTCATCTTTTGCTTCTTCTTCTTCTCATTTATCTTCATCTTCTCCTTCTTTATTTTCCTTCTTCTTTTCAGAAGACAAAGGAAGATACTTTAACAAGACTGTCGTGTGTCTATATATTCTAGGATAGAAGAAGATACACAAACAAGACTGTCATGTATCTTGATATACTAGGATAGAAAATGAGACATTAACCCGACTGTCATGTATCTTGATATTCTAGGAAAGAAGAAGACATTATAAGACTGTCATGTATCTTGCTATTCTAGGATAGGAGAGACATTAACAAGACTGTCATGTATCTTGATATTCTAGGATAGAAGAGACATTAAAAAGACTGTCATGTGTCTTGATATTCTAGCATAAAAAAGACATTAACAAGACTGTCATGTATCTTGATATTCTAGGATAGAAGAGACATTAAAAAGACTCATGTATCTTGATATTCTAGGATAAAAGAGACATTAGCAAGACTGTCATGTATCTTGATATTCTAGGATAGAAAATGAGACATTAACAAGACTGTCATGTATCTTGATATTCTAGGATAGAAGAAGATACACCAACAAGACTGTCATGTATCTTGATATTCTAGTATAAAAGAGACATTAACAAGAATGTCATGTATCTTGATATTCTAGGATAGAAGAAGATACACTAACAAGACTGTCATGTATATTGATATTCTAGGACAGAAAAGGAGACATTAACAAGACTGTCATGTATCTTGATATTCTAGGATAGAAAATGAGACAATAACAAGACTGTCATGTTTCTTGATATTCTAGGATAGAAGAAGAGACATTAACAAGACTGTCATGTATCTTGCTATTCTAGGATAGAAGAGACATTAACAAGACTGTCATGTATCTTGATATTCTAGGATAGAAGAGACATTAAAAAGACTGTCATGTGTCTTGATATTCTAGCATAAAAAAGACATTAACAAGACTGTCATGTATCTTGATATTCTAGGATAGAAGAGACATTAAAAAGACTCATGTATCTTGATATTCTAGGATAAAAGAGACATTAGCAAGACTGTCATGTATCTTGATATTCTAGGATAGAAAATGAGACATTAACAAGACTGTCATGTATCTTGATATTCTAGGATAGAAGAAGATACACCAACAAGACTGTCATGTATCTTGATATTCTAGTATAAAAGAGACATTAACAAGAATGTCATGTATCTTGATATTCTAGGATAGAAGAAGATACACTAACAAGACTGTCATGTATATTGATATTCTAGGACAGAAAAGGAGACATTAACAAGACTGTCATGTATCTTGATATTCTAGGATAGAAAATGAGACAATAACAAGACTGTCATGTTTCTTGATATTCTAGGATAGAAGAAGAGACATTAACAAGACTGTCATGTATCTTGCTATTCTAGGATAGAAGAGACATTAACAAGACTGTCATGTATCTTGATATTCTAGGATAGAAGAGACATTAAAAAGACTGTCATGTGTCTTGATATTCTAGGATATAAGAGACATTAACAAGACTGTCATGTATCTTGATATTCTAGGATAGAAAATGAGACATTAACAAGACTGTCATGTATCTTGATATTCTAGGATAGGAAATGAGACATTAAAAAGACTGACATGTATCTTGATATTCTAGTATAGAAGAGACATTAACAAGACTGTCATGTATCTTGATATTCTAGGATAGAAGAAGATACACTAACAAGACTGTAATGTATCTTGATATTCTAGGATATAAAATGAGACATTAACTAGACTGTCATGTATCTTGATATTCTAGGATAGAAGAAGAGACATTAACAAGACTGTCATGTATCTTGATATTCTAGGATAGAAAATTAGACATTAACAAGACTGTCATGTATCTTGATATTCTAGGATAGAAGAAGAGACATTAACAAGACTGTCATGTATCTTGCTATTCTAGGATAGAAGAGACATTAACAAGACTGTCATGTATCTTGATATTCTAAGATAGAAGAAGAGACATTAACAAGACGGTCATGTATCTTGCTATTCTAGGATAGAAGAGACATTAACAAGACTGTCATGTATCTTGATATTCTAGGATAGAAAATGAGACATTAACAAGACTGTCATGTATCTTGATATTCTAGGATAGAAGAAGAGACATTCAAAAGACTGTCATTTATCTTGATATTCTAGAATAGAAGAGACATTAACAAGACTGTCATGTATCTTGATATCCTAGGATAGAAGAGACATTAAAAAGACTGTCATGTGTCTTGATATTCTAGGATAAAAAAGACATTAACAAGACTGTCATGTATCTTGATAGTCTAGGATAGAAGAGAAATTAAAAAGACACATGTATCTTGATATTCTAGGATAAAATAGACATTAACAAGACTGTCATGTATCTTGATATTCTAGGATAGAAGAGACATTAAAAAGACTCATGTATCTTGATATTCTTGGATAAATGAGACATTAACAAGAATGTCATGTATCTTGATATTCTAGGATAGAAGAAGTAACACTAACAAGACTGTCATGTATCTTGATATTCTAGTATAGAAGAGACATTAACAAGACGGTCATGTATCTTGATATTCTAGGATAGAAAATGAGACATTAACAAGACTGTCATGTATCTTGATATTCTAGGATAGAAGAAGAGACATTAACAAGACTATCATGTATCTTGATATTCTAGGATAGAAAATGAGACATTAACAAGACTGTCATGTATCTTGATATTCTAGGATAGAAAATGAGACAATAACAAGACTGTCATGTATCTTGATATTCTAGGATAGAAGAAGAGACATTAACAAGACTGTCATGTATCTTGATATTCTAGGATAGAAGAGACATTAACAAGACTGTCATGTATCTTGATATTCTAAGATAGAAGAAGAGACATTAACAAGACTGTCGTGTATCTTGCTATTCTAGGATAGAAGAGACATTAACAAGACTGTCATGTATCTTGATATTCTAGGATAGAAGAGACATTAAAAAGACTGTCATGTGTCTTGATATTCTAGGATAAAAGAGACATTAACAAGACTGTCATGTATCTTGATATTCTAGGATAGAAAATGAGACATTAACAAGACTGTCATGTATCTTGATATTCTAGGATAGAAAATGAGACATTAAAAAGACTGACATGTATCTTGATATTCTAGGATATATAAGGAGACATTTAAAAGACTGTCATGTATCTTGATATTCTAGAATAGAAGAGACATTAACAAGACTGTCATGTATCTTGATATTTTAGGATAGAAGAGACATTAAAAAGACTGTCATATGTCTTGATATTCTAGGATAAAAGAGACATTAACAAGACTGTCATGTATCTTGATATTCTAGGATAGAAAATGAGACATTAACAAGACTGTCATGTATCTTGATATTCTAGGATATAAAATGAGACATTTAAAAGACTGACATGTATCTTGATATTCTAGAATAGAAGAGACATTAACAAGACTGTCATTTTTCTTGATATTCTAGGATAGAAGAGACATTAACAAGACTGTCATGTATCTTGATATTCTAGGATAGAAGAGACATTAAAAAGACTGTCATGTGTCTTGATATTCTAGGATAAAAACGACATTAACAAGACTGTCATGTATCTTGATATTCTAGGATAGAAGAGACATTAAAAAGACTCATGTATCTTGAGATTCTAGGATAAAAGAGACATTAACAAGACTGTCATGTATCTTGATATTCTAGGATAGAAAATGAGACATTAACAAGACTGTCATGTATCTTGATATTCTAGGATAGAAGAAGATACACTAACAAGACTGTCATGTATCTTGATATTCCAGGATATAAAATGAGACATTAACAAGACTGTCATGTATCTTGATATTCTAGAATAGAAGAATAGACATTAACAAGACTGTCATGTATCTTGATATTCTAGGATAGAAAATGAGACATTAACAAGACGGTCATGTATCTTGATATTCTAGGATAGAAAATGAGACAATAACAAGACTGTCATGTATCTTGATATTCTAGGATAGAAGAAGAGACATTAACAAGACTGTCATGTATCTTGCTATTCTGGGATAGAAAAGACATTAACAAGACTGTCATGTATCTTGATATTCTAAGATAGAAGAAGAGACATTAACAAGACTGTCATGTATCTTGATATTCTAGGATAGAAGAGACATTAACAAGACTGTCATGTATCTTGATATTCTAGTATAGAAGAGACATTAACAAGACTGTCATGTATCTTGATATTCTAGGATAGAAAAGGATACACTAACAAGACTGTCATGTATCTTGATATTCCAGGATATAAAATGAGACATTAACAAGACTGTCATGTATCTTGATATTCTAGAATAGAAGAATAGACATTAACAAGACTGTCATGTATCTTGATATTCTAGGATAGAAAATGAGACATTAACAAGACGGTCATGTATCTTGATATTCTAGGATAGAAAATGATACAATAACAAGACTGTCATGTATCTTGATATTCTAGGATAGAAGA